TGTATATATTATATGTATGTATTGTATATATTTGTATATGTATATGTATGTATTGTATATATTTATGTATATGTATATATATTAATATATATGTATATGTATATATATGTATATATATATATGTGTGTATATATATGTACAGTATATATGTATACATATATGTATATATATGTATATGTATATGCATGTATGTATACATATAATATGTAATATATATAAATATATTATGTAATGTATACATATGTATACATATGTATATATATACATGTACATATACATATATATAATATATATAATTATTATAATTATTATTATAACTATACTAAAAATTATAAACTAATTATTATATGTTTATCGTCACTATTTCCATGAACCGACAAATAGATTGCGATTGAAAAATTAATACTTTTTGATGCCAATTTCCGACCTGAAAAATTCGTTGCAGGATTCTTGTATTTATTAATTAAAATATATTAATAAATTGTAGTTATAGGTCACAATGTTTATATCGATCTATTAATTATTTAGTAATTAACTAATTTAACATGTTAATTAAGATATATTAATTAAGATATTCGTAAAGTTCTTGTGAAAGTTATTTACATAGTTGCAGTTTATTTATACGGCATTTCGACGGATATTCCTCGAGTGAACCATCCTGAGCTTTGCTTACCAAAAATATGCGGTAATCGCGCGATAGTATACACGAAACACTTTGGCGATGCTTTTGTTTACATTTACATCCAGCGTTTGTTTAAATGCTTAAATAATTGAAAACATAAACTATGTGGATTAAACATTCTCATAGAATTTACAATGAAACATTATATTGTAATTTATAAGATTATTTTTTAAAACAGAATAAAATAGGTAACATATTTTATTGAAAAAAAAAACCAGATTTTACATCTATAGACGTAAGTTGATTTAATATGCTGAATCATTATTAATGATATATACCTATTACATATTTCTATAAATTAATCAACAAATATCTCATTAATCACACTATCGTAAATAGGCGATATTATTATTGAGGTATTATTAATTCTTAATTAAAGCATTATTCGAGCACCTTCATTATTATTATTATTATTATTATTATTATTATTATTATTATTACTACTACCTGTACTACTATTTTATTTATAATTTTTGTTGTTTTATTTTTTGTTCTATGTATGGGCCTAGATATGTATATATTTAATAATTAGAAATAATTATTTATAATTAATTGCAAAACATATATAATATAATGTTAACAATAATATAGGCTATAGGCCTAACCAATTATTTATACCATAATCTATCGATAAAACATCCATTTGATTAATTAAACAGCAGCTTTTCGAGTGGCAGTGCCGATAGAAAACTGCATGTTTTTTGTCATTGCGGCAGTGCCGATAGAAAATCGGAACTTTTTTCGCACTGCGCCAATAATGCTGATAGAAAATAACAGCTTTTTTCGACTGTGGCAGTGCCGATAGAAAACAACAGCTTTTTGGCACTGCACCGATAGAAAACAGCAGCTTTTTTTCGCATTGCGGCAGTGCCGATAGCCTCAGCCGTTGTGACTGTGAGAAAAACATTGAGATAAAAAAATTAAGAATTAAAAGTTAGGTCCGAAAGTTCATCAGCGCCCCCTAAACTTAGCTATGCCTAGGGCCTAGCCTAGGAATAGGCCCAGGCCGAGCTAGGAGGCTAGGCCTACTTTACTTGCTTGACTTATTGTGCACTAAAAAAAAAGGCCTAGGCCTATACTCTCTAGGCTAGGACAATTAAATTCCAATTCAAGAATGAAGAATCATTAATCATCATGGAATGATGCTATATGTTTATTCAATTAAAAATTCTAGAGTGATATTATTCCAAAAATAAAATAAAAAACAATCATTGACCTCACCTCATCATCCGTCAACATGTACAATACGTAGTTTGCAGTTTCGTAGCAACTTGAAGATAGCTATGGAACGCCGAATTCGCCGAAATTATGTGTCAGTTCAAATAATAAAATAAGATAAAATAATATTGCTGTGTACACTGTACTTGGTAAAGTACAGCAATAAAATAAGATAAAATATTGCTGTACTTAACGCCTTTTTCACCAATCGGTAGACATCTTGAAGTGATGATGACAAACAACCCAAGTCAGGTGCGTAACTAACAGAAATAAGATAAGCTTTGAGGCTAAATTCTTGTATTGCATTACAGTGCAATAGCATAGTACTCCGTATTATTACTCTTCCAGGTACAGTAGGCCTACCGACGATAATATACAGATTTCACTTATTATAAAGTACAAGTTATGTTTTATAAAGAAGCATAGTATAGTAAATCATGTTTTTAATACAGAAAAATCTCATATGGTAACTAAAACAATGCTAGTTTAGAGTACTACTGTACTGTTGCATAGGCCTATTTTAATACACTATTTAGACAGGCTTTTCTTTCTCCATCTTGATTTCGGAGGTCAAACAAATTGTTTGCTTTTTTTCAATCATGTAGTGGTGTAAAATAGTCTTTTGAGAACATTTTTCAGAAAAAAAACAATGTGATACGACCCTCAGTTATGGAGTTATGAATTTTAAGATAACATGAGGACAAGAATTTAGCCTCAAACTGTTGTTGGTTGTTGTCATCATTTCAAGATGCCTACCGATTCGTGGAAAAGGCGTCAGAACTTTAGATAATGACCAGACCAGTTTGGTTTACGGTTCAAATCCGACAAGTGTCTTTGCTGTAACAAAATCTCTTATAAAATACTAAAAAAGATTATTACCAGTTCCAAAATGCATAACCTTACATTTGGCCAAATTAAATGGAAGTTGCCATACTACTAAATTGTTAATATATGCGCTGAAGAGCATCCCAATCAGAAGATGAATTAACCACTCTATAGAGCTTGGTATCATCTACAAAAATGTGTTATATTTGAATCAACTACTGCCTTCGGTAGGTCATTTATACAAATAACAAACAGTAGTGGTCTCAGGAAGCTGCCTTGGGGAACACACTGCCTGGTAACTTCACGAAAAGCAGACTTCAAACCATTAACTGAAACTCTCTGTTTTCTCCGTCTTAGGAATAAATTATTACTTTTTAAATGATTGTATATTGCATCTCTTACAAACTTGTCCATGCATATGCATAAAACTGACGTCAAACTGATCTATTTAAAGATGTATTGCCCCTTGCTAATGTCAAAAAATCATTAAAAAAACAATTTTGAAACAAACTTGCTCATATTGCAATAGCATACAAATTATTAACTTGTGCATAAAAATGATTGAATTTAAAAAATGTGTACCCTGATTTTTAAACCAAAAAATTATTTTAAAAAATAATAAAACATTTCCAGTCAAGTCTGGAAGTGTTTCTATCATTTTCACTGTAAACTTTCAAATACACAAATTTCTATGTTCAAGTTGATAACTTTTATGTTACTTCAAAATGGGCAAGTTAATTTCAAAAACTATTTTTATGATTTTTTTGGAATTTAGCGTGGGACAATACATCTTTAACAGTTCACTTCTAACACCTTTTTTAAACATCAGTACGACATCTGCTTCCCGCCATAAATCTGGAACGACACCTTATTCTAACGATTTGTTAAACAGCGTTAAAACCCTGAAATATTAGATCTGAAAATGTTAAGAAAGGACTTACATTCTTAGAAAAAATATATATATGATTTAAAAGAAATAATTATATAAATAAATGTTTTAAGAAAGAATTACAGCAAAGATTTGAAATTAACTCTTAGAGTATAAAGGAAAAATATAATCCGGTATAACATTTTAATCAAATAAAACATGATGTTGAATACCAAAAATATAAAGATAAGGTTAAAAAAGGTATTGTGTAAGAAACATGGTATAATTCTTATTACTGTTAACTGTAAAACAAGATATTGAGGAAGCTATTATTAAACAACTCCAAAAGACAACATTTAAAACTAACGCACTACATATTTTAAAGCAAAAACATTTTAATGATTTTATTACTGATTTAAATAATTTTGAAAATTATAAAAAAAATATTAACATACTTAGTTAAACCCCAATCCTAAAACGGGCTATAATCTTAAATTCAATTGTTACAGAAAAGATATGGAATTAGCTTTAGAGTATAATGGAAAAAATATTATAATCCAGTATAACATTTTAATCAAACAAAACATGTTGTTGAATACCAAAAATATAAATATAAGGTGGAGAGGTATTGTGTAAGAAACATGGTATAATTCATATTACTATTGATTATAAAACAAGATATGAAAAATCTATATAAAAAAAAAATATTAAAATACTTCGTTAAACCCCAAATCCTAAAATGGGCTATAATCTTGAATTCAATTGTTACAGTAAAGATATGGAATTAGCTTTAGAATATAATGGAAAAATATTATAATCCAGTATAACATTTTAATCAAACAAAACATGTTGTTGAATACCAAAAACATAAATATAAGGTGGAGAGGTATTGTGTAAGAAACATGGTATAATTCATATTACTATTGATTATAAAACAAGATATGAAAAATCTATTATTAAACAACTCCTAAATACAACATTTAAAACTAAAGCACTACATATTTTAAAACAAAAACATTTTAAAGATTTTATTACTGATTTTAATAATTTTTAAAATGATAAAAAATATTAAAATACTTCGTTAATCTCAAAGAGCTGGCAATAACTCCTCTCTCTCTCTCCCCCTCTCTCTCTCCCTCTCTCTCTCTCCCTCTCTCTCTCCCTCTCTCTCCCTCTCTCTCCCAGGCATAATTTCATCCTGTATTTATTTAAATCATTAGGCCTCCTGCCCATAGAAAATAATATTACCATACAAAATCTTCTTATGAGGACTTTCTTTTTTTAAATGCAAAATATAAAAGTTTAGCCAGGTTGAACAAATCATAAAACGTACATAATGTGGGATTTCTGCAATAATATTTACTCAACAAAAATTCTCTATGCGTCTTGTAAGCAGGTCAGACAAGACAAAAGTGGAATTCATCTTCTGGTTCTTGTCGATCGCACATACATAGTCGCAAAGACTCATCATTGCCTCTTATACTTACTAAATATGGTTACTGATATTAATTAATTTTTAGACCTACTTACTTTAATTAAAATTAATTGTTATTGACCTCATTGTTTTAGTTTCTATAAGTGAGCATTTGTATATTCATGTAGAACGAAGACATGTTATCTATTGTTATAATTTATATGATTTAGTTGCATTCGGAGAAAATAAATAAATTAAAACATATTCTTTTCATGGGATACGTCGTTTTCTGATTTTTCAGTTGGGTCAATTAAGTTTTATGGAGAAAATAATTTGCCCTCCAATTCGAAACCATCTTTAGGACCTGAAAATCTGTGGTGGTCTTGGAGGTTCGGTCTCCAATTATACAGAGGGTTAGCTATGTGTTAAAAGGTTGTACTCTGAAAAATTGGTCTCGAATTTGAATTTGAGGGGTGTCGCAATTAGAGGGGTCTACAATTGAGGGTGTTTCTATTGCTGAAGCAAGGTCGGCTTTTGGATTAGCAGCAAGTAGAATTGTGGCTCATTTATCTATTGGGTTGGTGTGTGGTTAGGCTAGATAGCGCATTTAATTATGCCGGTAAATAAACTTACAGAAATTAAAGAATAAAATAGAAAAATATTGCATTTAAAATGGTCGTTGAGAAGCTTTATTCATAGTATTATATCAAGGGCTCTTACTGATAATAAAATATCTGACGAAGAGTTTAATTTAGTTTTGGATAAGTATAAAAAATATGCAGAACTTAAAGGAAAAAAATAGAGTTGAAACTATTAAACTACAAGAGATTGATGATGAACTAAAAACATCAATGGAAGAAGCAAGATCAGAGGTTATTAAAGAAGTTAGAAAACGACGAGTTATTAGGTTGGAAATTTGAAATCAATTTTAAGAAGTATTACGATGTTGTGACGCAATCAGTCCCAGGGATGATTCCAAACCCGCCTCCGTCGTATAGCAACGATAGTCCTAGAATAGAATTAGGATAAGTGTATACAAAAAATGGTATCCTACTGGTTAAAGATTATTGTAATAAACCCTAATCGTTTGCCTTTTAAATGTTATACCCTGTGAAAACGATTAGGCCTAGATGAATTCGAGAAAAAATAATTTGGGTGTCAAAGATTAGGCTGTTGCTAAATATTCATGGATTTGGGCATGTGTGGCTCAACCAGGGTGTTGACAATAAACAGTTGTTTTTAAAAGCATTTGAACAACGAATTAAAGATGTCTATTTACATGAGTATAGAGAACAAACAGACTTACGTAAACATTGTTTTTATCTGCACATAAACACTTTATTCAAATTGAAAATTATTTACTTAATACTCATAACAGCTTTCCAAAGCAACACCATAGATCAACTTATTTCCAAAGAAAAATGTAGGCCCTACCTTTCCTAGTTATAATATAAGTTAACTATATAAATAAACAAAAAATCTAAACAAGATAGTATTGATGCCCATCATATTTACATTTGAAATTCAAAAAAAGACACATTTTGTTCTAAAATTAAATTATGCTACATTTTTGTTTTAAGGTTATATATAAATTTGAATTGAACAAACATGTTAATAACATTGAATTGAACAAAAAAAATTTTTCTTGTTATGACAGAAGGAACATAATAGATTATTTTTTTGCCAATTTTAATTAGAAAATGATTGGTGCTCTAATTCCTTTGATTCCATCTGAACTGCAACCTTCTATAGTTAGTATAAATAGAGCAAGTAAACGGTAATTTATTTATAGTTTTTCATTCTCTCTCATAAATCAATATTTATATCAAGTTGCTAACGCATTTAAGCTAATATATTCTGATGTTTATCTGGGAGAGAGTACAGGAAACTATCATAAACCTTTCGCGAACCCTAGCTAACTCTTAATTTCAAAGTTAAAAGATACGATTGGATAAAATATTTTCTATTCAGAAGAGGGAAACTTTCTTAAAATGTTTTTAATAATCATATGCAACTGTGATAATTACCATAATATGCCAAATAAGAATATAATTATTAACTTGGATATACGATTGGATAAAATATTTTCTATTCAGAAGAGGGAAACTTTCTTAAAATGTTTTTAATAATCATATGCAACTGTGATAATTACCATAATATGCCAAGTAAGAATATAATTATTAACTTGTGTAATACCACATACTGTATTACTTAATATTTTTTTATTTTATCCATGATGATAATTTTCAAATATGTACAAAGAAAACATTGTAAAATGAAAGAGAAATACAAAAGGGGAAAAAAAGAATGTATAAAATTGGGCTGTCCCTACGAAAGAGAAAAATGTTTTTAATAGAATGAATAATACCCATATACTCAACAAAATTTGTATTATCATTGAATGTCTGCCTAAAAGCTTCTAGTGATAGTAATTAATTGTTATCATTCATAACATTTTTACCATTTTTACACAATGGTGGTAGTGTACTTTTTATCACCAATTGTACTTATATGGTTTGACCACAAACACCTCGTAAAACCTTATTGAGGTTTAAAGGTAAATGCTATTTAGTAAATTAGTTCCACGATTTCAAAACGTCAAACCAAAAATGGTTATTTTTTTAATGACTTGAGTTAAAACCTTACTTCGCACCCAACCTTCTATGGAGACATCAGTAATGTTCTTTGTTTTGTGAAACAGATTTATAAGTTTTATTCAATTTGACCGCATCAATCTATCCTAATCCATGTTATTTTTAAGGAATTAAAATATAATCTAACGTCAATCAATTTTCAGAATCCTTCATCTTGTTTTAGAACGATTTTATCTTTACCATTCCAAATAAAGGCTAATAAGGTGGTATTGAGCATGTTAATTATCATCTTCTGGATTTTGTTAACGATAGAATAGAAGGAGCCTTGACAACAGTATGGATTGTATTACTGTAATTTACCTTTTGGACTAACTCATATCATTTAAATTTGTACAAAAAGCGATACCAAGTTATTTAAAGGATTCTCCTGGCTTAACCCAACTTAAGTTTAAGTTATGACAAATTGTGTCTATGTATGGATGTAGACTTGTATAGCGCATACTACTAGGTCTCTATGCACTTTAAGCAAATGTCCAATAGAAGTTAAACAAAATAAACAAATAAGATGAAGAGACAAAGAAAAAAAGAAACATGAAAAACCATCAACAAAAAAGAAAAACAATTAGATGGATGATAAAAGATGAGTTTTAAATCTGGCCCTAAATATGGATACGACAGCTTAAAAACAATGGTTTTCAGAATAGGAAGTATTGTTTTAAAAAAAACCAAGAAAAACGGGTATATAAAGGTAAAAATATTGAGGTAGTGTCGTATATAATTATCTGTGTGTAAGAATCAGTTCGAGAGGTTCGATGTCAATAGCGATAAATACCTTAACAAAACAAGCAGAAAAGGGGTTATTTAAGATCAAAGGTTTTCTTGATGGATACCCCATGTTATCCATAATAATAACATGTATATATTTGATAGCATGGTCGTTCCAATTGTTCTTTAATGCTCGAAGGTATAGGATTTCGACTAATATAGAAAATATGAAAAGGTGCACTCAAAAAGTTATGGATTATATGTGTCCTAGTAATATGGAATTAAATACTGGTACAATAACAAATTACAATAATTAAATTAGTATAGCTTCTAAAGATTTAAATATTGGAGTAAATTAAGATCTATCAACCAGGTAAACCAAAGCAAGCTAATATACTTGTGAAGCCTGGTGAGGAGGATGAAGTTATAACATTTTCCCCATCACAATTAATGTTAGTCTTATTGGTCGATTATTTTAGGCTTCGACCGTGCACCTTTCTTGAAGATTGGAGTTGTGCAAGCTGTTCGCCAGTTTTCAAATACATGGCTTTCAGATCGAGAGTTGCTTCAATCGTCTTCATCAATCGTAAACATTACTATTTTTATCATTGTTACACATTAAAATTACTTTTTTTTTCATTACAGATATGCCTCACCAAGTTTCAACTATACTCTAAAAAAAATCATATATTCAATTTTTCAAGAGCATTTACAAATTTTAATATCTCGACTAGATTCATCCCGAAGTCCATTTTCAATTGTGAATAAAAGAATTCAGGGGTTTTCTTTGACAATTTAACCATCTGCACAAGAATTTCTCCGTTCACCTCTTTCATACAACTGTTATAGTCTGACATAAGGTTGTCTCTTAACCACTTCTCAACATCATCTGCAGTCCAACCAAGTACACTTGAGTGCGGACAGTCCACGTCATCGCTTGGCACATTCTTCCCCGAAAACAATTGTGTTTCAGATGCAGGATTAACATTATCTGGAATGTAATTGTAAATTATTATAAATTAGAAGGTCGTTTACATTTAGACGGAATCTCTGATTTTGCAGTCATCAGTGCTAATAGATTTTTTTATTTTTTTTTTGAAATTACAAGGTACGACATGACTATGCTTTATTGATTAACTTAATTTTTGTTCATGAGAAAGTGCAACCGGTCCGCTTTATTCTGAACACAGTGTAAGTAACCGTTACTTACATAATGCTACAAGACAGCGAGCCTATACTGTGACAAAAATAACGTTTTTACGCTGTGATTTTTAAAATTTTAAAGTGTGGCATATGTCAGTAATAAACTGATTTAGAAACAAGATGATTTTCTTTTTTACTCATAATGATAAATAAAACGTACGTTCTTGCTAGCCAGCCCTAGGTCTGTATGGTTATTATAATACAGGTTATAATAACGATTAGTGTAACCATACGAATTTTATGAAGGAATATATGTGTTGTTGCTCTGTTGTTAAGTTTGTTGTATAGACTTTACAACAATTTATTTAAGGGATAGGAAGTTAATTGAGATCTACCACAAGTCTGCCATTTAAAAATTAAACGATTTTGGGTTTCTCAATTTAATATATTTAATTTTCACATTGAAATTTTTATGTTTTCCTAAAATTACATTGAATGATTTTGTTGACACAAACAAAATACCTTCTGAAAGTCCTCTATTTTTGATTTCTTTCTGGATATTTCGAAATTCATTTTGAACAGAGGATTCACATGTGAGTTTGAAGTACTTGAAAGTGCCGATTAGAGCGCCTAACCAACCATCAGCTATGTAGTCTGACTCGACAATGAGAGGTATGATAGGCTTTTTCTTTGTATATGCATATGTAGCTTCTACAGAATAAAATGGTTATCATCTTTTCATAAGATATTATAATAAACCATAGTATGAGAATACTAATAGTTGGAAGCGGTTTGGCGCGTGCAGCGGGAACAGTTTGGTTCCCAAACTCGAGGTCGGGGTTTTCCCCCACCCCGGGGCGCCCCCACCCCCGTCGTGGAGAAGAAGCACAATTCGTCGGAGAGAAAAACAAATTATGTATTTTCTACATATTAGTAGACTGTAAAATCGATTAAATGAGCCTTTGAAACCCCTAAATTGTTAAAATTTTCGGGAGCTTCGCCCCCTGGACCACTTTTGAGACCTTTTAATTGAAGCTCGACCACGCCAACATTGCTTTCGTCGGGGAAATCTGACCCTCGTCGGGGACCTCGTTCCCCCTTGCCCCGTCGGGCAAATCCTGGCGCCACCCCTGGTATAAAAAGGTAACTGGTGGGGTTGCCTGCACCTGCACCGATTAACAGCAGCAAGACTTAGCATGTAGACCCAATGACCAGGGAAAAGAATTGCGCTTTATCCCCAGCATCCTAAGTTCAATATTTGTAAAATTTACTGCAAAAACAAATTGCAATCTCAAAAATAAAACATTGATACACAACATGGAGTTAAAAATATTTTGTTCTTAATGATAAATATCGCCCTCATAATATTGTAATTAAATATGAATGTGATGATAAGTGTATATTGTTAGTCATCTAAATTCTATGATATATTAACCATTGTTTTATAAAATTAGCACCAACCTGTTCTGCAACTATTACTGTTCTTATACTTCTGAGAAACTGCAACCAATACCACTGCAGAATTTTCAACAGCAGCAGCCATAGCTCCTAGAATGTCACCCTCTATAACATAATATTAAACTTATTTTAGACACACTCGCGTAAAATTATTCTCATAATTGAACGCCCCCACACCCACCAACCCCTCAAAAAGAAAAAAAGCTGATAGCTTTTTGCCAACATCTGTATATTTTTCCCGCAACAAGAAAGCATCTTAGGGGGGAGGTCCAGACGTCACCGACCATCACCTTTTCTGGATCCGCCCCATGAGTATCATACATTTTTAGATATCAGTCTGTGAAGCCTATTCGGCAAAACACTGCAAGTGTTGGCATATATACAATAATAATGAATACTGCTACGTCTTTAACTATTATTTTAAAAGACCTTTGCATATGAAAGACAAATTTGAATACACTAAATTTTGGAAAGACGCCAAAGATTTACAATTTTTTAAAAGAGTTTATATCGGCTTCTGTTTTCACAGATTCTTTGGATAGTTTTTGCAACTCCAACAAAGTATATATATGATGCTTCCAAACTTACCCAAAGAAAGAAACAAACAACAAATTACCATTTAAATAAAGCACTGTGAGACAATAATTTTGTTTATGTTGACAAAAGCAGATAAGATACTGTAAAGAATATAGTAAAAACTGGATTTACAGTACAAATGCGTGATAGATTAAGGCATTCACTATTCGCCACGTATTTATTTATTTTAGGGATGCACGGCAACGTATTTCGAAATTACAATTATTTCGAAGTACTAAACGTTCTAATTATTAACATGAACAAATCAATTAAAGTGCAAGTGCAATATTACATATTTGTAATCGTCATCGACAAATATTTTAAGTTCAGAAATAACACTACTTTAAAATTATCAGAATTTTCCTTTTAACCATTATTTTACTTAAAGTTAATACACAGTTTAACAAAAACCAAATTGCACGATATTTGAAATTGTTCAAAGTAAATCGTAAGCACTATCCGTTTTTCTGTTTAATTTTTTTATCATTTTACGCGCCATAAAATAAGTAATAAATTTTGACATGAAATCAGTGGTGCCTTGTCTTTAAGGACTTCTTCCTATAAAGAAACCACTGCTTGTTATTCATTTTATTGTATTATCATTTTTGTGTTGAATGAGATTTTTTTCAGGCTTTGCTTCATTACAGTATAATACTTAGGCTTGGCAATCAGTGCATTGTTCTGAATTACAGGTGTTGGCCTTTCTGTTATGGTAAGTATCTCCTTGTACTTGATTGCCTCACAGGTAAGGAAGTTTTTTGTAAATATTTGCTGATCTTTTCCTAATCTTTAAAGTCTTATCGTGATCTATTTAAAAGAAGGTCAAGAGAGATTAGTCATATTTCAAAAACTTGAAAGTCATACTCATGCATTTATACTGCTATATTAGAATAACTTTATCATTTTTATTATTAATAAGTATGGTTATTATTAAAGATTGTCAACATACCATGTTTACTCCCAACTATTATGACAGAGCATGCTTGACCTTAGGAAAAATCTACCTAAGACTAGAATACTGCCTGAACTATATAACTGATTGAAGGAACATGGCTTATTTCGGGAAGAGCCGGTATTGACATGCATAAAAAATGGATAAGGCTACACATGACTCCCCTCAACATACCAATAATGAAGAATTGATCCCTGTAATAACACCTATTAGATCACAATTCGCCCTAAAAAAAAGAGGGACGTGGTGTAGATAAGTCATGCATTGCACACCCCAAAACCGTTGATAAGCACTTCATGGGACAAGCCCTCTTTACCTTATGGAATGCTCGTTCTATAAAAACAAAAATATCTGACATCTGTGATTTCATCATACACCGCAAAATTGATATTTTAACATTAACTGAAACCTGGCTTACAGGCAGTGACCGTAATAATCGTTGCATTTCAGATCTAAAAAATTGCCTACCTGACTTTCGCCTTATCAGTTGTGAACGCCGCCATAGTGGAGGTGGAGTTGCTTTGATTATTAAAGCTGGCTTCTCAGCAAAAGTTTCAAACAATAATGTTAATTATCGTAGCTTTGAGTTATTAAGTGTTACAGCAAGTTACAAAGGTACACACTTTAAGATTGTAACCATCTATAGACCTCCTCCTTCTGCTAAAAACAAGCTCTCAACATCTCTTTTCTTTGAAGAATTCTCAGAATTCCTTGAGACGTGGGTTTTAACGCCATCAAATTTACTAATTGTTGGCGATTTTAACATTAATGTTGATGTTCACAATAACCCAGAAAGTAAACAATTTTCTCAAATACTAACCTCCTTTGGTCTTCATCAACATGTAACTGACATGGGGCAGCTGACTCTCAATGAGTTATAGTAAAATTTTGCTTAAACTGCCCCTGACCATAATTTTTGTTGTACTGTACCATTTGTAAATGTGTATTGGTCGAATAAATAAATGAAATGAAATGAACTGCCCCGACTCACATTAAAGGACATACACTTGATCTGATACTGTCGTTTCAGAACGAACATTTAGTTCTCAACACTAGAATACAAAATACTTCCATCTGATCACAGTACTGGTATTGCACACCATAACATTGGCCGCCCCCCTCACACTATAATTAAAACTCAAAGAAGAAATTTTAAGAAAAATAATGTTGAAAGGTTTGTAAACGACATTGAGTTTTCTCATATTTCACATATTGATACCGGTGACGTGGATATATTAACTAGTGAATATAACCAGATCTTAGAAAATATAATTGATATATATGCACCAGAAATTAAAAAACTATGACTTTAAAACCTAGGTCACCATGGTATCGTGAAGAATCGCGTGATGCTAAACGCATTAGGCGTCGTTGTGAACGAAAATGGCATAACACTAAATTAGCAGTACATTATGATATTTATATAAAATCTTGTAATGATTACAAGACATTGTGGGATAAAGCCAAGTCCAATTACTATAGATTAAGAATCATCGAGTCTGATCAAAAGCAACTTTTCAGAATAATCAATGACCTCACTGTTCCATACTCTGGAACCAAATTACCTTCAAATTATTCTGATGTCAACCTTGCTAATAAGTTCTCGGATGCATTTTTATCTAAAGTTTCAAAACTTTTATCGAATATTCCTCATTCAGTAGGACAGAGCTCACACTTAATGCATCCAACCCCACCAAAGTCTGCTACATCTATATTTGATAATTGGGAGCCTATCGATGAAGATGATATAAGTAGGGTCACCTTAGCTTCCAATAACAAGTCTTGTGATCTGGATCCTTTACCAGCATCTCTTTTAAAAGTCGTCTTGAGTTCTCTTCTGCCAACTATTACAAGAATCGCAAAACTCAGTTTTGAAAAAGGTATTTTCCCATCACCATTTGTATCTGTCCCACCAATTCTGAAGAAAAACACACTTGACTCTGAAGTTTTCAGTAATTACCGACCGGTTTCCAATATTCCATATCTCTCAAAGATTCTTGAACCTATTGCATGCTCACAACTTCAAACCTACTTACATAGAAACAATTTGATTCCTACATATCAATCTGCTTATCGACCCCATTACAGTACACAAACTGCACTGTTGAAAGTCAAAAATGACATCATGCTGTCTCTTGATACTCGAAGAGAAGTCCTGCTTTTTTACTGGACTTTTCTTCAGCCTTGATACTGTGAACCATCAACGTCTGTCACATCGATTAGACATATACTATGGTATTAAAGGAACTGTATTAAGCTGGCTGTCATCATATCTTATTGGACGTAGTCAGCATGTCTCAGTCAGTGGGTCTTCATCTTCACAGTCAGTATTTTTATACGGTGTCCCCCAGGGTTCTGTTGCTGGCCCTCTCCTCTTCTCACTCTATACCCATCATTAATATTGCTCTTGCACATGGTGTCAAATGCATGGTTTATGCTGATGATGTTCAGCTTTATGTAGATTGTGAACCGTCTAAAATCAACGCCGGTTTCCAGCAGATAACTACATGTTTTCAAGCCATTCAAACATGGTCTCATGAAAAGAGTCTGTTCCTGAATAACCACAAAACTCAATTTATGCATATATTGTCCAAATTTAGCTCATCTAAACCTATTGAAAATGTTACCCTGGGAAACTCCACTATTGAAGCTCCTAAATGCGTTAAATTCTTGGCGTTACATTTGATCAGTTTATGCTTATGTCACAACAAGTTGACTCAGTCTGTCAGGCCTCTCAAATAGCTATAAGAAAAATAAGTTCCATACGACAATATCTTGATAATGCGACTACTGAAAAACTTGTACACGCATTTATTTCTTCTCGATTAGACTATTGCAATAGTCTATTATACGACATTCCAAAATCAGAGACTAACAAACTTCAACGAATTCAGAAGACACGAGCACATATCACCCATCCCAAATGAGCTCGATCGGCTTACAATTGAAAAACGCATCCAGTTTAAAATACTATTGATGACCTTTAAGGTCAAACTGCACACGTCACCAACTTATCTTTTGGAACTCATTCCAGATTATAAACCAACGAGGTCACTACGTTCATCCACCAAGAATCTTTTAATAAAACACAAGTACAAAACTGTAACTTATGGTAACTGTTCGTTTTCTGTAGCCTCATCTCATTGTTGGAATCTGGTTCCATTAGAAATGCTTGCACTGTTAACACATTTAAGTCTATGTTAAAAACGTTTTTTCTTAGCTCTCAGATTAGGTTAGGAAAAGTGAGAATCGGAAAGAGAAGAAAAGAAAGGTAAGTAAAATGAAAACAAAGAAAATTGAGAAGAAAGGTAAATTATACCCAAAGCTAATGTAATTTACATATCAATTCAATAGTGGTGTTTGACGCAGTGGTAAGTAAAATGAAAACAAAGAAAATTGAGAAGAAAGGTAAATTATACCGAAAAGGAAAGACAGAAACAGAAGGAAATTAAGAGGTGATTAATAAGAAGAGATAAGGAAATAGATAGAAATGGAAAGGAAATGAAAGCAATTAAGAACAATGAAAAATGAAGTACATGAAAAGGAAAAAAGGAAAA